CCGTCATGTGAGGGAAGCCCTGTGCCTGGATGAGTCCTTGCAGGCTGGCCGATGCTTGAGTGCAGTGAGGGGATGAAGGGGCCGATTCACCCAGTGGGCCAACCTCTCTGCTCAGCGCCAGGCATTACAGTCTAGGGGGGCCTCCCGCTGTGTTTCTACGCCCAGATGGTCTCCACCAGACTGGTATCAGAGGGGTGGCCATGTTAGTATGGATCTGCAAAAGCGTCGAGGAGTCCTGTGGCACCTTAGAGACCAACCGAAGTGTTGGAGCATAAGCTTTCGTGGGCAGAGACCCACTTCGTCACATGCATGTGACTCCACCAGACTAGTTCAGCAAACCTATTTCAGGGCAAAAGGGGCAACACCAAGGCAGGAGAGACTGTGAGGTGATCGCCCGCACTCCCCTCAGGAAGGGGAGACAGTCGGGGGTCACCTCACTCCCACTTACACTCCCCTCAGGCAGGGAAAGCAGTGCGGGGATTGCCCACACTCCCCTCAGGCAGAAGGGACAGTCACGGGTCACCCGCACTCCCCTCAGGCGGGGGGAACAGTCAGGGGATCACCTTCACTCCTCTCAGGCAGGGGGGGGACAGTCAGGGGATTGCCCGCGCTCCCCTCAGGCGGGAGGGAGGGGGACAGTTAGGGGATCGCCCACACTCCCCTCAGGCAGGGCTGTCCTCCTCGCATCCTCCCTCTGATCTGCTTCATCACCCTTCCCTCCCCCAAGGTTTGTCCAGTCCCCAGGCTCAGCACTCCTAGTAAAGTGAGCACCCTGCAGTCTTCCCCATCTCTCCTCTACTCAGCCATAAGCCTGGCTCCCTTTCCCCTGGGGCCCATGAGCCTGGGTTACAGAGCACTGTTGGGTGACTTCCCTTTGTCGGGCTTAAACTTTGGGGCTGAGGCAATCGGAACGTGGCCAGCCTGACTATTGTTAATTATCTCCTAGTAGAGGCCTCAGCGGAGGTCAGGGCCCCATTGTGTTGAGCGTTGCACAGACAGGCGATAAGAGACGGTGCCTGCCCCAGCTGTGCCGGGGCGGCACCGAATGGCTATGTCTACACTGGTGGGTTCTTGCGCAAGAAAGGCTGTTCTTCTGCAGAGCGTCACACTGCCCACCTGTTCTTGCACAAGAAGATTTACAGTACGGCGTCGGAAGAGAGGGCTTCTTGCGCAAGAGCTACGCTCTTTTCTAACAGGTGTCAGCCATCTTGCGCAGGAGCTCTGGCACAAGAAGGCAGTGTGGACGCAGGGCAGGGGTTTCTTGCGTAAGAAAACCCTCTGGTTAAAATGGCCATCGGAGCTGTCTTGTGCAAGAGAGCGTCCGCGCTGCCATGGGTGCTCTCGTGCAAAAGCACATGGACGTGTGGACGTGTTCTTGTGCAAGAGGTTTTGCGCAGGAACTCTTGCACAAGATGTTCTTGCACAAGAACCTGCCAGTGTAGACATAGCCAATGAGAGATGATGAACTTCCTTAGGGCTAGAGGTACTGAGGTGCCTAACTTCTTCTATAAGCACCTAAATGCCTGTGTACATCTGGTTCATCGGCTATGCCTACACTGCAGTGAAAAACTTGCCTCTGTCTCCTGCCACTTGCCTCTGGCTCAGGCTGTGAGGTTGTTTCATTGCACTAGATGTTCCCTGTGTCCCAGAGTCCGAATGTCTACACTGCAATGAGACAGCCCTGCAGCCTGAGTGGGATCCCATTGGCCAGGGGTGGGTGTCTAGTTGCAGTGTAGACACACCCTTACAATCCAAATGGACAAGAGGTAGGAGAAATTGAGGCACAGAGAGAGGACGTGGCTGCCCAGGAGCTCAGAGTTAAGAATACTGGAATAAATTGCCGAGGAGGGTTGTGGAATCTCCCATCTCTGGAGATATTTGAGAGCAGGTTGGATAGACGTCTATTGGGGATGATCTAGATGGTCCTTGGTCCTGCTGTGAGGGCAGGGGACTGGACTTGATGATCTCTCAAGGTCCCTTCCAGTTCTAGTATTCTATGATTCTATGAACAGAAGCCTGGTTTTCTGTGGTCAAGTGCCCTCCCCACTGGGCCTCACTGCCTAATCAGTGCTATGCTTGTTGCCCTAGGGATGACCTGCCAGGCCCGGAGCTCCTACCTGGTGGACGAGGTGCTGTGGGGACATCGCTTCATGTCCGTTCTGAGCTTGGAGGATGGCTTCTATGAGGTGGACTACAACAGCTTCCACCAGACCTTCGAGGTGCCCACGCCCAGCTGCAGTGCCAAGGAAATGGCTGAGGCCACGGCCCGCATGGACGCCCACATGTACTGGTCCATCCCTAGCCGGCTGGACGAGAAGGTGGAGGAAGGGACAGAGAAAGAAGCTGGGGACAAGGAGAGGAACGGCAGCTTGGCCAACCCAGAGAGCGAGTCCAAGGTGTAACGGGACAGTGCCGAGGTGGGAAGATGGAGCCAGCCGAGGCCAAAGCGTTCAAGCGTAGAATGGGAGATTGGGGGATGGCAGAGGGAGGAGACTCGTGAAGCGTCAGGTGCTCAGGAAGGAGGGATGGAAGGAAGGAGGAGTGATAGCTGGCGAAGGAGATAGAAGAGTGAGCAGGGAGGCAAAGGGATGGCAGATGTACCCAGTGACTTGGGTCTCTAAAACAGGGTAAAACGTGTAGTGGTAGCAACTCTGCAGCGATGGTGGGGTTGTGTGCCGGGGCTGTCTATGCAGGTAATAAATCAGATATTTATACACACACGTCTATTTTGTAGCTGTACAGAGCAATGAATGAGGCCTGCTCCGTGAAGGAGCAGAAGGAGGGGTTTTATAGCACGGACATGGATTGTGGAGGCGCGAGGGCGGGCGGGCCATTTGAGAGCCAACGGGTGGGGTGGAAGAGTGGAGCAAAGAGCCAGATGGATGCGTGAACGGGACAACAGAAGCTGCCCACCTCGTGTGGGGAGGGGGAGGGATGCATGCATGCTAAGCCGCTTTGGAAGAATGGCCCTGCAAGCGGCAGGGTGTGGAGCAGCTGGAGGGCGGTGGAGGCACGAGGGACCGGCTGCACTGGCCGTGGGGTGGATGGACAGGGACAGGGCTGTGCACTAGAGCACCTGCATAGCTGGAGAACAGGCGGGGAATGTCAAGGGGCTTAATATAGCGATAGAAGAGCAGGAGAAAAGACACATGGGGACGAGCTGTGTTCAGCCTGGCTTGTGAGGGGCAACGCAGCGAGTCAAGAGATTGATCCAAAAATGAAAATCGTGGACAGGAGGGAGAATCGTAGCAAAGACCAGGACGGGCTATGAGTGGCATGATGTCAGGTGACCTGCGGAGCGTCTCCCATGCCCGGCTCTTCCCTCACTCAGACACACTAGCACCCCCAGTGCCCCCGAGCTTGCTGTCTCTCTCGCTGTCTTTTAATAAAAGGTTTTGAAATGGACGTGCCGTCTCCCCTTTGCCGCCAAAGGCTTTGGGCCAGATCATGGCAGCGCTGGAGGACCTCTCCTGGGCTCCGGCATGCCCAGGGCATGGTGCTGCCCACACACGTCCGGGAACGAAGCTGGTGGGCCGGGGTGTCCTTGAGATGTGCTAGTGTCTGCTCTGTGGTTGGATTCTGTGGGGATGGCTCAGTGGCTGAGCGGAGCTGGGTTTGGGATGCTCTGCTGCACGGCGACCTGTACCCGGGCCACTGCCACGCACCTGCCAACGGAACCTCACCTGAGTCACCCACGTGGCCGGGGCCAGCAGGCCTTTGTCTCTCACTGCGACTCGCTGCCCGAGGATGGGGGGGAGGGGCATTTCAAAACCCCACGAGACAGGCGCTTTCCTCCTCCCGCTCACAGGTACAAATCCAGCCTGTTTGACGTGGGACTAAAAACCGCTGCTGGCCGGATTGGTGCTAGGAGGCGGGTGCACCTGTTCCAGTGGCATACAGCTGGCAGTTACAACAGATGGACTGATGGGGTTTTCTTAGCAGGTAGAGAGGTGGGGCCAATGCATGGGGGGGAGGCTTGTCCTCCAATTGCCTATGCTAGAGTGACGTTTCCCCCCACCCTGAGGAGGGTCTTAATGCCCCCTTCAGGGGCTAGCTCCACAAACAGGCAGGATGGCTTAGTGGTTAGAGTAAAGCCTGGGGTTGAGGGTCAAAGCTGAATGGCAGGCGTGTCACTTGCTCTTTGGGTGCTTTGGTTCCCATCAGCGTGAGGACAAATCTGGTAAAGATGGAGGGGTGCTCAGAGGCTGTGGGAACAGGGACTGGAAGGGTCCCTCCAGGGGCTGGGCCTGCTCTGGAGCCCTGCCATTGGCAGCGTGCAAGAGACACATTCATTGGGCCCCGCGACAGCTGATGCTTCCGAACGACGCTCCGGCCGCTCTGCTGACAACTCAGCCCTGGCACCCTCCCGCTCCATTCTGGGCTCTGTCTCTTAGGGATCTCACCAGCCTCCCTGCCCAGAGGCCGGCCCCTCCCGTGAGTCTCTTCTGCCTCCGATCGGCTTCATTCAGCAGAGTCACCAGCTCTCGCTTTTGAGGTTCTTTGTCCTCCATTCTGTGCGCAGCTCTGAACTGACCTCACCTGAGCTGTCTTTGCCCTACTCTCTGGACCCTTTTCCTCTTGCTCTTTCTTTCCGCCACGCATGGCATTACTGCCGTCCTCACTTCCTGGATAATACCGTACACAAATAGGTACATGCAGACACACCATACCCAAATCCTCACCCACTAACACAACCATGCATCCCACTGCATCCACCAATCCAGCACCACTGACTCAGCTCGTGTCTCTCTGCTTTGCGCCTTTCCCTGGCTGGGGTTAAACCCTGCAGTTCTTCCACACTTAGACTGGGCCCTGCACAGCAGTCCCCTATGACTCCACCGCACCCTGACTGCAGTTCTTCCCTGTGGGAGTCAGAGGTGAACAGAGTGACCTGCCAGCCTTCTCCAACCCAGAACTTGTCTAGTGCAAGCAGCAGGATCAAGGCAAAACACAAGACTCAGGATTTGAAAAGAACAGGGTCCAGATCCAGCTGCCAAGCTCCCTGCAGTGGAGTCTGGCTTCAGGCTGCCTAGCCCTGCACTGTGGGATGCCAGGATCTGACCACTTGGCCCCACACACCATGGTGGCCTGGGGTCTCGCTGCCTGGCACCATGGGTCTTGGTTTCTGTTATTTATATATATGTATACATCTTGGTTTCTGTTATTTCCACTCCAACTCATCCGATGAAGTGGGTTTTGCCCACAAATGCTCGTGCAGGGGCGGACTGGCCTAGCGGGATACCGGGAATTTTCCGGTGGGCTGTCGTATCCACCGCCATTGCCCCACACTCCGAGCGGCTCTGCATCCGCTTTATGCAGTGAACGGAGCCTGACCTGCTGCTTGTGCTGCGTGCTGGACATGATACAGGGAAAAAGGGCTTGAGGGGCACGCAGGGGTGACGATATGGAGAGGGCCGTTCCCAGGCCTATTTTGATTGCCAGTCCACTCCTGAGGTCGTGATACTATATCTAGATTTTTGATAGTCTCTAAGGTGCTGCCACAGAACTGCTTGTTTTAACATTACAGACAAACACAGCTGCCCCTCTGAGGCCACACGGTGGAGTTTTCAGTCTGAGCCGGATTGAGATGTGGCACAGACCTGCAGTAGCATGTGCACTGTTGCGACAGGCACTCACGTGCTGGAGAGATAGCGGGGAGGCTGCGTAGATCTCACATCATGGCTCCGTTCTGGGACCCTGGCTTTTCACACGCCACGCCTGGAAGAGCCATTGGGAAGGGGATGAGTCAGAGCGACGCCCTGGAAAAAGCATTCAAATTCCACTTCCTCGCTGTCCAACAACAGTCACTGCTGGAACAGCAGCTGTTCTGCATGTGCCAGGTCGTGGGGACTTGCTGGGCCAGGCTAGGAGAAGGACAGTAACTATTTTTCATGATGCAGTCTGTGTCGTTAACCATTATCTCTGGGGTCCCCTCCATAGAGACCTGCTTTGTTCCTGACTATCTATGCGGTGGGAATGATGTTCAACCAGACGGTGCCAGTGCAGGGTACAATATTCCCTGCACAGCACAGCATGATGAAGTCCTGTTCTGCCCAAAGCATGATCCAAAGCTGCGTTTTCTCCAGACACGCCCTCCATTTCTGAGGCAGAGCAGCTTCTGGTGGAAAACACCATGTGACGCCAAGGGACCAATCATAAATGTATTTGGAGACAATTAGAAACGATCCACACTGTTTAAAGCCAGGAGAAACCGTTAGACCACAGATCACAGGCTATTCTATTCCACTCTGATTTCCCTGTTGAGAGTCCTGGGTTCCACTAAAGCAGGGGTGGGAACCTCAGGCCCGGGGGCCGGGTGTGGCCCCCAGCTTGCCTGGATCCGGCTCCCCCCCAGCACTGGGGAGCCTGCCCTGGCACTCCAGCTCACCCCCACCCCACCATGGGGTTGGAGCACACAAAATCGACTAGCCTAGGCCCGCCTCGGCTCTGGTGTGCAAGGGGACTGTGGGAATTGCCTTTCTCATTCTCAACTGGGGGCCACGACAGTGAGGGTTGGTTTTGAGGGGGCGGGTTGTTTCTCGCTTGTGTGCGGCCCCCGACTGATTTTTCTGCACACCAGCGGCCTCCGACCTAAAAAAGGTTCCCTCCCTTCCTCCCCTGCATTAAAGCGACTCTTCCAGTAAGGTGTCAGCATGGCGACAAATGAAACAAAACAAGTTTGTGGTGAAAAGCAGCAAAACCACGATTTGGGCACGAGGGGAGTTTTCAGTGAAAAACTGTTAAAATGTCACAAATCTTGGTGGGGGAGTTTTGAATGCAAGAAAAATATAACAAAAAATTGTTCAACTCCCCCCCCCCACACACACACACAATATTTTATTATTTTTTCTCCTAGCTTCAATTCAGATGATATCACCAGTGCCCTGGGACATACTTCAGGATAGGGACTGTCTTTTGGTTCTGTGTGTGTACAGATCCTAGCACAATGCAGGCCTCATCTGGACTGAGGCTTCCATACAATTCGTCAGTAACAAGAGATGCTACACCAGCAGCAGTTTGTCCACTAAAAGGATTACTAAAAGGCTGCTGATAAAGGCACGGTTGTTTAGGTACCTCTCCCGCAACAAGACCAATGGGAGTTAGGCACCTAAATATCTGAGAGTATCTGGGCATATAAGCTCTTTGGAGCAAGGTCTAATTTTTGAGCTGTGATTGTACAGCAGCTAACGCAGTACTTAAGAACAACAAGAAATAGCTGGAGCTGCTCAAAACAGCCCTAAAAAGTTATGGACACTTCAAAAAATCATGAATGCACTTTCCTCTTTTTGGTTTTTGAAGTGACCTGAACTAATTTTGCTCCTTTCAAATTTTTGATGGATTAGAAAAAAATTCAAATTCTTGGTTGCTATTGTTGTTCCCTAGGTTGGTGTTTTTCACTCCAAGAACACGTACAGTTTTCAGAATTCAATGTTATCAGAGTGGAACAGGGATAGAAACTTCCCCCGGAGGATTAGACCAAATTGTACAAATCACTGATGATATCAGTTAGGTTTTTTTTCACATAAGAAAAAACAAGCACAAATACATCAGCCCAAATGGAAAGTGGAAAAAAATTAAAAATGGGGGGAAGGGAATGTCTATTGTTAACAGTTTGTCTTTGCTCTTTACATGATCATAAGAATCCAGACAACACGGACACAGCTGGCTCCCAACTAACCATGCGTACTAGTTGCAGAGCAATCCACCAGGCCTAACGGATGGATACGATGCTCCTCTGGTAGGTTTTGGTAGCTTCTGCAATAGCAGCCAGGCAGGCTACTCCCGGGAGAAATCCCAGCCTCCATAAAAGGATGCTGTCCCATTGTGGTAGGCCATGGAAAACTTCCAAAAGACGGCTTTGTTTGGTAAATCGGTGGCATTGTTCATCCTGAATCCCTTCTCCCACAGCCTGTCCCTGCCCTAGCTGTGAACGTCCTGGCCCCGTAGGGATTTCTCAGCCGTGCCATTTGGGTGGGAATCACTAGTTGAGCTCAGGCAGCGACCCAGCTCAGATTGCCCACAGCTTTCCCCTAAAGGAGGGGCTGTGCTCACTGCCTGCTCGCTCCATCAGGGCTCTTGTGCTGCAGGGCCAGCCCCATGGGAACCCCGAATGGGCACATGCTGCTAAGGGAGTATGGCCCTCAGGAGTCTCCTGCTGGGGATCAGCTGTGGGCCAGGATTTTCCTAAGCAAATGTGGGTCAAAGGTGGCTAGGACCAGGGTGGGAGATGCAAAATGCTGCCTGTGACCACTTGGCAGTACTGTGCCCCCATGGCATTTGTTGCGGGAGCCGAGATTAGCCCAGATCCCTGAC